GCTGTGGGAATCAGTGCTAACAGAGGCAGGTCTAGCCTGGATCAGAGGGGATGTGTTCAGGGACAGGAGCGCTGCTCCTGCACAGGCGTTCTTTAAGTAAGGAACTAATGGCCAGGACAGAGAACGCTGAGGTGACTCCGTCTAAGAGAGGCATTGCTGTATCTGCTAACCCCCCCCCATCATGGTTAAAAACTGACTTCTTTATCGCGGTCCCACCCCCCCGCCCCATAAAAAACAAGCCCTAAGTGAACAGCAACTGCATTGCTCATTGCTTCCACCAGGAGGCACTGTGCTCTGTTGGTCAAAGTACATAGTAACCCAGTACTGGACACCAGGCACTTCAAACCAGTTTAGGTCCTTGCAGGACACCTTGCAGCTTATTTTCAGCACATTTGGATGTACAGTACATCCTACTCAAAGTAAGACAGAGCGTCACTGGGCTGCTCCGATCCCCGTAAAACATGGATTGGGTGAAAATGCCAGGCAACGGGACTCGGGTCCACTACCCGGGAATAGGATGGAAAGGGGATGGCAGCAGGCTCAGAGCTCCAGAGGGATAAACTATCCCAGGAATTGAGCTACACTTCTATCCCTCTGTTGTTTTCCAGTAAGGAACTTGCTGTCCAGCTGGCTGGCTGAAGCCAGGCTCCTGGCTGTTTTAAGGCTCAGATTTGTCCTGACGTGACCTGTCTTGTGTGGAGGCCCCTGGTAAATAATGGCTGAGGGCTGGGGCAGTGCTGGCACACAGCTGGCACAGCTGCTGGCCGTCGGTGGGGCTCAAGACGCTGGTCAACACCAGGGCACTGTGCCGATGTGACCCGGCTGGGAGTGGTGCCGACCAGCTGTGCTGTCTGAGCTGAGGACGTTGAGCTGGGGAGGGGGGAGAGGCGCTTACAAGGGGCTCGAGGGGCAGGCATCTGGGGGTTCCACCTCCTTGGCCTGGGGCGCACTAGATGTCCAGCTTGAGTTTGTCGGGGGACTGGTCCAGCTTGGACAGCGTCTTCCTGATGCGCAGCGCGGTGAGCCGGGCAGTGGGGCTCTGGAACCAGCACTCCTTCATGAGCCTGGTGATGGCGGACAGCGTCTGGACAGACAGACAGATGGATGGACGGACAATTCAGTGAGAGGGACAGTTGGGCAGTATAGTCATGTGGACAAATATTTCAATCAGATGGACAGACAGACTGGTGGACAGACGGACAGTGAATTAACTGCACAAAATGATGAACAGACAGTTAAGTTAGACGGACAGATAGACAAGTAGCCAGACAGATATTCAATCAGATGGACAGTCTGATGGACAAACAGATGGATAGTTCAGTCAGAGTTCAGACAGCTGGAAGCTCGTTTGTCTGTACATCACCTTGGTAATTCTGACTTTTTTATTTAAATTTCTTGGAACCATTTCATTCTGAAAAGTCTTGGACTTCAATCTAATGTGCATGCGCCCTCCGCCTACCTGGGCCTGTGCTGTAACTCTACAGTCTTCCCTGCCCAAGAGAGCAGAATTCCACATGTCCACAATCCTCTAAGGCACTAACAAGGTCAGCCCAGTGGACTTCTTCAGTCTCAACAGGGCAACACAGATCAGAAGACACAGGTGGAAACTACAGAAAACAGGAGGTGCTTCTTTACACAAAGGGTGGTGGGAGTGTGGAACAAGCGGCCCAGCCATGTTGTTTCAGCTGATACTCTGGTTTCTTAGTAACGGCTGGCTAAGATCCTTGGCTCAATTAGTGACTAACTACCAAACGAGTAAGAGGGGCCGAAGGGCATCTCTCATTCGGAACCCTTCTGAGCAGCTCGGAGTGACTCACAGGGTGGGTGCAGAGCCGGTTGTGGACGCTGGGTCTCTGCTGGTCAACACACACCACCTTCTTCATCTCCTCGAAGCTGGGGTCCGACAGCACCGCGTCGAAGAAGGGGGGCCGGTAGTCCTCCACGATCCCTGGGGAGAGAGCAGAGTAGGCGAGTCCTGCAGGAGTGGAGAGCAAGTGGCCAGAGACAATCCTCTTTCAGCTACACTCCGGGACTCTGAACATCTCGCAAACGTGAAAAGGCAGACCGGGCCATAGGACTGTCCCCAGAGTTGCCATGGAGTGACCACAGCCTGGACATAGAAACTGGACACAGACAGACCTGGCTGCCCAGAGAGGACAGGCTC